TATCGCTCTGCTGACCCTTGGGGTCCATTTTATTTTGGTATACCTTTTCTAGGTACGTTAGCCTGTGACCACGGAAATTGGCCGAGTCAAGTGATGGATTAGTACGGAGAGATTGAGACAGAAGGAGGTACTGGATAGAGAGACCGGGATGGTTTTTAATGTGAAGACAACAACAACAACAACAACATGTGTGTGGGCATTTTGTGGTAATTTGAGCTGGTCGGAAATGACGGTCGCGAAGGATAGGACTATCTCTGTTGACGAAACGCGTATCACACAAGTGCCATGGAGAGGGCTGCAGGGTAGGTTGCGAGCACTTTGCGTCGCCCGCCGTACTCACGGCGGGGCGGGGNATGAGTTGTGCCGACGCTGCTCGAAACCGGCAACGACCTGTCGAATCCGTAATCGTGTTTTGTCAATATCGCTTGTTGTGATTTGCGCTGCGCGTACCCCGTCGCATGTGCATCATCAGCGAACGGCGCCAAGAAGCGGAAGTCAAGCAGCCAGAGAACAAAATGCAATATGAAGGTGAGAGAAGTGTAACGCGCGCGTGGGTTATTGGTCCGTGGTGTGCGCGTGGGCTAAACGCATCGAAAAGTAGGACAGCCGATGTTGTACGTCGTGGTAGAGACGGTCGTTCGTATAGGACTTCTGCTATTGGAGTGTTCGACCGAGGAACTTGAATGTATCATTTTAAAAACATTTTTGTACATTATATTGTTGGGTGTTTTGTTGCTGCGAATACCAGGTGTACGTCCGATGGCCCGTTCGAGGTACGCGTTCCGACCACCCGTACCTGACCTTCGGTACGTTGGAGCACGATCACCCGGTGGACAAGGGCGTTGTTGATGAAGTTCGTCGGCAGACTAAGCCTTTGGACACCCCGACGAAGGACGCGTGTTGAAAGCTCACAGGCGAGTACTGAGGCAGGATGTACGCGTGGTTTGTCTCCTTGCTGTTGGCGATTGACATGGAAATACGTGGTAAGGATGTAGGGGGCTTCATATCTGGTGTGGAGAGGGAGACGCACGAAAATAATACCGTTGGTATTGTGTATCCTGTCGACTGACTGTGCGGCATAAATCATTTGTTGTTTTTGTGTGGTTGTTGTTTTGTAACAGACGCGGGCTTCAAGCCAGCGGTTCAAGGCAAGATGATCGAAGCTCTTACCGGCGAACGCCCAAATACCAGAGCCATCCAGAACCACGCTGCTGCGCATGGAAGGCGGAGAACGCCGTACGACGCTAACGAGCTGCTGCAAAGGGTAAGGGTTAGCTCTGTGACGCCCACCATATCTACGACAATCCTTTGACACTGCATGCGTAACATGTGTTCCTTGATTTGTTGTACGCTTATGGCACAGCAGTATCTCAATGTCCTCGGTTGAAAAGGTCCTTCCAGCCATGGAGTGGTACGCTTGTGGCTCTGAAGCGGGAGTTAGATACCTCCGCTGGTAGGGGATGCATGGTGTGGCGCCACCATTTGCGGGGAGTGTGGGATCTGGATCATGGAGGAAGTGGGGACGCCGTTCGAGTACAGGCTACTTGGTAGAACATTAGCTTGCGGAAGATGAAATGCTGAGCACTGGCATGGAGCACCAGGGTACCCCGCGTCTACTGTTCTGAATGCGTCTCAACCTCATTTGTACTTGCCGCCGTTAACTCTGCACAGGTGAAGGACGCGACTGCAGACGGAGGGAAGTACCTCCTCAAGATGGGCACCGAGGGACGTATGACGCACATCTTTTGGATGACGGCATCGCAGGTGAGAGGGCATGTGAGGTGGAAGGGAGGACGGACCTCAGCGCGTGCGAGTAATATTGGAAGAAGGGGCTGCCGTTGTTTGAAAGTAAACAGCAATCCTGGATCAATGCTGGCGCGAGTGCAGTGCCACAGTCTGCGCAGAGAGCGGAGCTGCACTTGATTGAAATCTGCTGAGAGCAGTGGCGTACGATAAGGTCTTCGATGGTGAAGCTCATGTACATTCACGCACCCCAGGGTCCGACTCTCCTCCCGTCTACCCTCTTTTTTGCGCCCTCCCCGCCCCCCCCGGTATTTGCTATCGGGGTTGGGTTTTCGTCGCTTGGCAACGACGTTGTAAAACAAGCCAATTCACTTCGTGAACTCGGCAACCAGGTTACCGTTTTTTTTTTTTTCCCTCCGGTTTTTTTTTTGGCGGTAACCATAATGGTGGTCGAGTAGATCATGTTGTGCGGGGTGGATAACCCTCGCTCCGCGCAAGGGGGATGATCGCACCACGTTGTGTTAAAATGGTCAAGCACCCTCGAGGCAGTTACACAGTGCTTACAACTGTCTCTGGAAGTGAAAGCACCAG